GTGGAGGAGTTTAAGTATTTTGGGGTGAAGAGGGAGCCAAGTCGAGGAGCAAAGCTTTTGATTTACCGATCGATCTACATTCCCACCCTCACCTATGGTCATGAGATGTCGGTAATGACCGAAAATACAAGATCTCGAATACAAGCGGCTGAAATGGGTTTTCTTCACAGGGTGGCTTGGTGCACCCTTCAAGATCGTTAACCGGTAGGAGCTCGGAGTAGATCCGCAGCTCCTCCACGTCGAAAGGAGCCAGTTAAGGTGGCTCCGGCATCTATTCTGGATGCCTTCTGGTCGCATCCCTCGGGAGGTGTTCCAGGCATGTCCCATTGGGAGGAGGCCCAGGACACGGATGGACTATGTCTCTGAGCTGGTCTGCTGTCGCCTCGGGGACCCCCCCAGAACAGCTGGAGGAACTGTGTGCGGATCGGGAAGTCTGGGCACTTCTGCTTAGACTGCTGTGTCTGTGACCCGGTGTGGGTACCAGATCTGCTCGGGTCCTTTGCTTGCTGGTGACGTTACGACACATGATTGGCTGAACGTTGCCACATGATGTAAAACATAGTGGTTGCCCGGACAACGATAATAACATCATGCAGTGTCCATTAGCGTGTATAATTTTGACTGATGGAGTTTTACCTGATCGACAACATATCTGAAAAATATCTGTTTATGGTGAACAAAGTAACAGTTAGACCATGATTTAAAGGGGCAGAGATGGGTAGCGATGTAGCAATGTTCAGTAGTTAACATGTTAGCTTCTTTTAGCACAGCCATATTTGAATTTTTAGCAACAACCACCGTTGGTTTTCTACAAGTAGATTAAATTATGTTTTCTTCATCTAAAATCTCTACAAAAGCAAATAATAGCAAATATAATTAATAATATGTTGAAACTCCAAAACAGATTTGATCCTTAAGAAATGGGTTCAATACGGTTTGTTTGAGTGGAGTTGCAATATGTTGATGTCATAAGAAGGGGCAGGACCTCGAGCAGATCTGGTACCTACACCAACCCCGGATAAAGCAAATGGATTTGTTTCCCTTCTTTCCAAATTATGTTTTGAATCCAGAGAAAGAAATACAATGAAAAGGCGAGGAGTTAAAGACAAGATTTAGACAGACATTGGAATAAAGAAATTAACTTCCATTTAGTTTTTAATCCTATCCAGAACTGGAAGAAACTGATATGAATACTTTTCTAGACAACATAAGAACCAAGTTGGGCGTTCTTTGGTTAGCGCACATGACCCATGTAGGGAGGCCTTAGTCCTCGACGTGCAGACCCGGGTTCGAATCAGACCTCTGGTCCTTTGTCGCATGTCTCTCCCCCTCTCTCATACCCCCTTTTCTATAAGCCTACTGTCCAAAAAAACATCCACTAGTGCTGCAAAAACTCAAAAAAAAAACAAAAAAACATAAGAACCAAACAACAAAACAAAAGTACTACATCATTTAACAGCCCCAGAATCCCCAGAATAAAGCATTAATTATTTTATTTCAGTTAAAATCATTCAATCATTCAAAAATGATGCAGAGTTTAATAACCAGCTCAACTCAACATGCTTCACCTCCTCTTAAACCTCAGGTTGTTTTTGAGAAAATCATGCAGCACAATCTGGAACTGCCAGGCAGCAGAAACAAAGTATTTTCCATGAGCTCAATATGAGAAACACCACCTGAACTCCTGAGGAGGCAGCTGCCTCTGAGTAAATACTCCAAGAGCAGAGGTAATAAAAGCCCCTGATAAGACAAGCTGCCATCTCATTCTGGTGAGGAGAGAAAGGGAAGGAAGGACAGAGAGAATAGGAGGAAAAAGGCATCTGGGAAAATAACCAACAAGTTCTAAGGACAAGCTGACACTTTTCCTGGCACATCACACATCTGAATCCGCATAAAAGCTGATAATTTTAGACAGGACTGGGATTCAATCGCAACCAAACACAAAGCAAAAAGGTTCTAGATATTATATTCCATAGATTCCTGTGTGAGCTTATAAATGTGTCCCTGTGTGAAGGGCCAGACATTCCTTCCAGTCTTTAAAAAGCTGCAGAGGAATATCAGAGATGAGTCACAGCTGTCGAGAGACCACCAGTAATGTTTAGTGGGGCAAACAGTCCCACGTACTCCCATCCAGGTTTTAGGTTCCCCCTCATCTCAATCCAAATCTACTTCAGTATGGATCAATGGAAAGACACAAATACTTCCAGACTGACATCAAAATAAATATATCTTCAATGCACTCCTTAAGGGCATCAACCTAACCTTGAATTATTAAAAACCTCTAATAAACGGTTCTGCTTCCATGCAGGACTAACAATACAATAAAAACCTCAACAGGGCCAAGCTAACATGAGCGGCCTCAAATATTTAACAAACATTTAACTAAATCCTTTAATTAACAGTGCTGAACTTTAGGATGTCTGAACTTGACAAGGACAAACCTATTAAGTTGTTATTGGCAGTAAAGACAGAGTGCAGTCTATAATTTATCTTTTCCAGCATAAAAACGATTTATTTTATAACCTGGCCAAGAAAATCCTGTGAACTCAGTGAAAATCTAAGAGGAAGAACACATTTTTCCATCATATCTCTCAGCTCAGACTTCACTTGGTTCATTCAGTGAAAATCTGCATCTAAACCATCTTTTCTTTCTTCAGGTGTGCCCCAGGGATTTGTTCTTGGACCTGCCTATTTTTTTTTTTTTTTTTATCTCCTACCCGGTTTCTCTCAAAAGTTTTAAAAATTCTGTTTTTATTTCCATCTGGATACCGGTCGATACCTCCTCCATCCACCTTCTCCTAGCTCTAAAATGTATCTTTGTGTTTTGTTCAGAGCGCTTTAATGTCTTTGAAGGTGCCAGAAAACAGAAACATATTACTTTTCCCCATGTTGGGAAGTCTTTAGAGTTATTCATAAAACTTTTCAGAATCCGAATGTTTCAGAAGTATCCCTTTGAGAGGAAGGACTTTGTGATGTTCAAACACAAAAAGCACAGTAATTCATTGACAAAAAAATACAAGAAAGAAAAAGTTCTTGAACTTTATTCAGCCTTCCTGTAATCTGCAAAAACTCTTTGCTCATGTTTTTTCTGCAAAACATGTTTTTTTTTTTTTTTTTTTTGCAAAAAAGAAAAATGTAAATACCGCCATATATCTCAGCCTGTCCTCTGACTCAAGCTACGGTAGTAAAAGCTAGCTTTGAGTGTTCTACCTTCAGGTACCACTACAAAGGATGTTGGTTTTTTCTACGCTATTTTAATGTTTAAGCATGAATGGTTTAAATGATTGACAAAAGCATTGAGTTTCTGACGAGTCAGTCATGAGTCAGAACTTATCGAGCTATTAAGCTTTCGAGCTAAGGTGGCGACAGCTATTAGCTGAATCTCATTTTAAGATTTTCTGTGCATGATCCTTGTCTTTAAACAAAGGAAGAATAATGATTAGGGCTGCAACTAAAGATTATTTTGCAAAACAATTAACGATTTTTTTTTTCTGGATTATCTAATTATTAATTGGGTAGCAAAAGGTTCCTTAGATTTTTTTCATCAATTAAACCAGGTGAAAACGATTCCACTAGAGGAGTTCTGGATAGAGCATATTGACAGACAAAATTTTTTTTTTATCTTAAATGCAGAATGTTTATATATTTTTTTTAAAATTTTGATAAAATTACTGCTCTAAGTGGGTTGCTCTTTCAGTTAAAGACATGTTTCAGAATATCTACGCTTTAGGTTATGATCACTTACTAAATTAGTTGACTATTATTTTAATAATAGATTAATCACGATTAATCCGATTAATTTTTTTAGCCCTAGTAATGATAATAAAAAAATCCACTTTTAACCAACAGATAATAGCTGAAGCAACACTATAAAGATCTTTTGCAACAAAAAAAAATACTATAGACAACAATATACATAGCCAGAGGAACATAGAGTCCATTAAATAGGCAGAATAGAGAATTAGCCGTATTCAAAGCAATAACAACCCCACAGCCCGCAGGACCATAGGTGAAATTCTGTTACAGTTGTTTGTTTCATTTTAACCCTGGAAAAGAATAATACAATCAGACTTTACAGAAAACCAGAATTCTCCCTGACCTCTCAATGAAAGATGCTTCAACACAGCTAGGAAGACTGCAGGTCTGAGTTAGTATATAAAAGTTTTTTTTGATTATGACAAGTGTAAAATGTTTGCATATTCTGCTGTGAAGAAGGCCTGCAGCGTGGGAAATAACAGAGGGATAATAACAGACCTGATGACGGCGGCTTGCTTAGAAGCGCTTCTAGCTTTAACTACAGATATGCACGTATTACAAAGGAAGATGAAGGAAACTGGGAGATTTCTCTGACTAGCATGAGCAACATTGTTTTCATCTACGTCTAACATCTGTAAGAAGGATCACAGATCTCTAAAAGCTTCAATGTAACTCCTTTTATCCTCAAGTTCACAACATTCAGTAAACCATCACAGCAAACCACACCCACATCGTTTCAGTGCTACTCAGACCACAAGAAGCACAGCTATCTTCATCCTTTGTTTGGATTTGAAAAACAAAGACATCAAATAAATTTCCCAGTAAATCTAACCTCTGACCTTATGTTGCAACAGCTACTCCTCTCAGCCTCCGTCTATTTTTTGTTTAAGATAACAGAGTTTGACTTTGTGACCTCTGAACAATAAATCAGAGTCAACTTCTCTGATGTCAGGTTCACACTTGAGCATTTGGGAAGACAAGCAACAGATGAGCCCAACGGAGGCCTGGAAGCAAGACTGTCAGGCTGACGAGTTCACAGAGGGTCAAGGTGAGTTCAACCACTGGTGCCGTTAACTAAACTTGACTAAACATCTAATCTGCTGTTTAAAGCCCAAAAGTAGATGGAATAATCTGATTAAAAGGAAGGGACACAGAATAATGATTCAGCTAAGAAATAAAAGAAAATCAAGTTTATAAGAAAGTCCAGCATCGGTTTTATCCACTCTAACCAAATAAAAACTCACTCTGTCTTTGTCGTCGGCCACGTCGCAAAGCACATCATCCAAGTCTAGGATCCCACCGTCACCATGCTCAAGTCGATGGACTTGCAACCAGTAGTTTGCATCCTAGTAAACAAAAAGGGAAAAAAAGGTTAATGGATAAACCCAGCAATCAGATTGTACTGTTTATTGTTCTATGCAATGTTTAGGTAAAACTGCACTACAAAAATACTAATTTAGTGAGTTCTCAGTTCTTTATACGTCCAGATTTAAAGTACAGACAAAAATTCATCACAGATACAGAGATCAGATACTGAATGTAGTGACGAGAAAGAACACATTAGGTCTGACTGGATTACAGAGGGACAATGGACGATCAGATATTGGATATCCATTGGAGATCCATTCAAGCGCACTTCAAAAGGAACTGTTATTTCTTTATTTTTGCTGCTTATGTACGCTTTGTTTGTTCATAAATAACTTACATTTATGTGTGTTAATGTTTTACCTTTTTTAACAATGTTTATGTCAAGGCTAGAGCCTTCACTCAGATATATAGTTCATTCATTTAAAAGTTGAATCGTATCGGGTATCGGCCGATACTATCAGCCCAGGTGTCGGTATCGGAAAATATTGGATTGGTGCATCTCTAGTAATGACCAACTGACAGAAAAGAGTTGGAAAAAAATAACCGATGGACAGAGAAGGGGAAGGACAGGCTGACGGTTAAAACAACAAGGGGACGGATGAACTGACTGACAAAAATCAAAATAGTTCAGGGTTGCTTTAAAAAATACTAATAAAAAATGTATTGATTGACAAGGGTATGGAAAAGAATAAAATGATACCTGCTGCTGTCATGTTATCTGTGTTAAACAAGCATTGCAAACATTCTCGGCAAGAACTTCATTAGTCTCTAAAAACATCATGGTGACTGAAAGAAAACCCAAACACCAAATGCAGAACAGGCTCTTTTATCAAAAAACACAGATTAGGCATTAAAGCATGAAATTCCTATGGATGTTCACTGGAGCCTTAATAATCAGAGCTGGAAGGGAATCCACCCATAGCTACAGTTCAAATGACTCCAGCTACCATGACATTAAGAAACACAAGAGGCCTTGTAAGAATATAAGGAGTGGAGTCAAGGACAGAATTGATTATTCGTACATGAAAACAGCAATTAGCGATAAGCTAAAGTTAAAAAAGTTATTATGTAAGATACGTATTCCAGACAGAAATGATCAATAAACGATTAGGCTAAAATATATTTAATTCAAAGAAAGACCGTAACAATTATTGCATTTATTACATAATTCATACCTACATGTATCACTTATGAAAGAACAAAGTTTAGCCCTGATTGGAGTTTGTAGTTCAGCTACTGTGAACTAGAATCATGCTGCAGCCCTGAAAGTTAGAAAGCTTCATCAATGCAAAAAAGAGCATGGCGAATAGATATAATAGAAAGGCTAAAAGGCAACAGAATAAAAATGTCATTTTATTATTTAGCATTTGATAAACAAAAGGTTGTTAAACATAAAGGAGAACTGTGATGCTGATAAAAGGGAACAATGAAGTATCTTAACAGCTCTGAATGCCAGCTGGCATCTCACTCTAGATTCCCCTAAAGACATAGTTACAAAATAAATAAAACATGCATTTTGTTTATGTTGCCTTTAGGGACAAGATTTAAAAAATTATTATTTTTTTTTAATGTTGCTTAAATCTTGAAAAAAAAAAAAATTGAAGTTTCATCTGAAATATTAGTTATTTTGCAAACACTAGACTGACGATTATCAGTTGGAAAATGTTAACAAATCGCCAAACCTTAGTAGATGCTACATTTCTTGACAGTTTATACCATTTATGCAGGATCTTTGGATAACAAACTAAAGCCTCTTTCCCACTGATACTACCTGGTTAACGCCTCTTTTTCAAACATGGGTCGACCCGCTAAGAATCAGCATTTAGCTTCCTTCCCATTGGCCAAAAAGCTAGGCTTAACCCTTCCCTAGCAAGCTGCATGGCCTCTGTCCCCACGCAGCCACATGTCTCGTTAAATCATCATGCTGGGTTAGATTTGATGTTAAAGGGCTGGTTTTACTCCCGCAGCAGTGTGTCGCATTTTCGCAGGTAGGATGAAGAGATTTTTAATTTATGCCCAATTTTGAAGCGTGGTCTGCGCTATGTTATTCCACGCCACAATGCAAGAGAGACAATCACGAACTAGGTAGGATTGTGGGTGTCTGTGTGTCGGTTTGACGAGCGTGTTCGCCGTCTACAACCCCTCATCCAATGCAGGACAATGCTGCGTGTTTTGGTTTCAGATGGAAACTAACAGACCGCTGCACAGTTACAAACTAGCGTCCTGTACGGTGTAAGGATTAGTGTCCGAGGTATACCAGGCTCTAGGAGGAGGAGCAACCTCCTCCAGACAAGACTCTACTGTACATCTACAACTTATCAACAAAGGACATTCTTTTGAGGACCAGAATGTTCACAATTTGGAAAAAGAAAATAGGTGGTTTGAGAGGGGTGTGAAGGAAGCCATCTAAGTTAAGAAAGAAAAACCAACCAACCAACCAACAGAGGGGGTGGACTGAGATTTCAGCTTTCAAAAACTTACAATGCAGCAATTGAGTTAATCCATTCCCACTATCATCACAGCCCCACTCCCTGTACAGCAGAGCGGAGGACCTCGTCTATTCAGCCAGGCCAACAACCATATCTGCGTTAACTGCGACACACACGCAGACAACCTGGTTTCTGAGCATAAACCAGGCCTACAGAAGCCGAGGCGCAGTAAGTGTGCTTTATTGTTTCGCAGCTTTACCTGTCAGAAACTCTCTAGCGCTGCATCATGTTTGTCAAATGTAAACAGAGTTGTTTCTGCTTGTTAGATCAGACGCGACTGTCACGGTGTGACCGTATGTTGAGATCAATGGTGTGACATAATTTACCGGGTCAACCCAGGACTAGTGTTTCCCTGGCATCCCATCAGAGCTGAGGAGATTTTAACACGGGTCACTTGCCGAGTCGTTTGAACCGGGTAGACACGCTCCAGTCAGCTGTTCCCACTGCCACTAAAATCTGAATTTTCCCGCGTTTGAATGGGTTTTTAAACCATTGGGAAATGATTATAACAGAACATGAAGCATGAAGCTGAATCCATAAACTCCGGGTGTTTTCATGTAAAAAATATTAAATTAGAAGCTGCATTCTTTGCCACCTGATGTGGCCTGGGCCAAGTCTTATATTGAGTTTATTCCATATTTAGGACCAGATCAAACGGTGTGTAAATATGCGTGTGTGTGAGTGTCATTCTGTGGGGGCCAAGTTCGGCGTGCAAAAATAGCACACCGCAAATTCCCCATGACCAACTGCAAACAAGGGAAGCATAGTAAACAAGTTAACAAGCCTGACAGAAACAGAAAAACAAGTCACCACCCACAAAACACACAGCTCTCTCTGATGTGGGTCTGTGCAGAAATAATGCTCATCACATCTCCCTCCTAAAGAACAAACAATGTAAAGCTCTCTGCAGTACTGTACATCCATCCACTCTCTCCTGCTCCCCCTAGGAGCTAATAGTGAATTACACGATAGCTTGATATGATGGGGGCAGTGAATGACCTGGACAGATCTAGAGCTGGGTCACCAAAGTCATCTACTGTTTCAATGCTCATCTGTCCGACAGCAGACCTGGAAGGAGGCCAAAGGCGGCACCGTGACAGTCAGTGGGGAGGCTGGCTTCTGATTTAACACAGACAAGCCGGCCTGTGGAGCACGCTGCGTAAAAGAGACCAAACAGCGTGTCAACTTCTCTGATTAGAACATCTACTGCGCAATAAGGGAGGCTTTAGGAAATAATGCAGTATTTATCAACTCACTGTGGCTTAAATCAACTTTGATCATATCTATACAAATTATATTTAGTTTGGACCAACAAAAACGGTGTAGTGAGAAGAAATAATAGGTCAAAAATATAAATAAAAAATGACAACAAATATGGTTTATAAGAGCAAATGTGGAATAAAAACAACACAAGGAAAACTTGATGTGGTACCATTGATGTATTATCTCAAAATATAAGTCTTGAAGCCAAAGCTTCGGCACATATCACACTAATAAAAAAAATAAAAAAATCACCAAATCAGTCACTAAATGACTGGAAGACACATTTTTTTTTTTTTTATAGTCTCAGTTTAAGAGACAATTTGAGAAAAGAACTTCCAAGCTTTAAATGAGCAAGACAAACCTGATCCGCTTGATCCAGTCCTTTGAGGAGAAATGGGCCCAAATTTAAGCAAAATAAATTAGTGTTAGCCCAAATTTCTTATTTATATAAACACAAATCATTTAAGTAATCCTATTTAATGTCTCTTAATCTCTAAGTTGAACTGGATTATCTCATTGTATACACTGGGTTTCTTGACTTTTTTTGTGCTTATATCCCAGAGTTCCCTCTTTTTTTATTTATTTCAAAAACTGAAACAAAAATGTACAATAAATTGATGTAAGGTATTCCCTAAAGTGGATTTTAAATGAAAGCTGCTGAACTTGGACTGAAATGTATGATGGTTAGTAGGGCTGCAACAACGAATCGATAAAATCGATAAAAATTGACTTTTAAAAGCGTTGGCAACGAATTTAATCATCGATTAGTTGTGTCGCGCGATTAATGCGTCATCTGCCGCCGCCGTCATCCCGGGGAAGAAAAAAAAATATGGCGGAGCGAGTCAGCGCCGCAGTTGCAGTGTTGCCAACTCAGCGACTTTTCAGACCCCTCCAGCGACTATTTTTTTAAAAAGCGACTAGCGACAAATCTGGCGACTTTTTACGATGTCACTGGCGGCTTTTGGAGACTCTTACGTGAAAGCATGTATCGTTCCTACTCTTGTCCTACAGCGGCAGCTGCTGCCGTGGGGCGCCTCCCCCATCCCAACGCCTTTCTCCCTCTCCCACAAGAATCCCTCTCAGCGCTGCAGTCCGAGCCGCAGGATTTTAGTGAGGAGTTTACCCTCAGCGTCCAGACTGCAAATGAAGCGCGCATGCTCCGGGATTGACGGCGCAAATTGATCACAATAATTAAAATAGCCTGCGCTTTGTAAAGTGAAAAAAGT